GGTGCTTATTGTATGTTTAATTAACTTTCAACCAATCATTTTCATGATCTCAGATCTCAGAACCTCAGCGTAAATTCTCAGCTCTTCCACCCCTGCCCCTTACAGCCTGAGGAAGACTGCGTTAGCCGTACAGGGTTAGTTTCAGTGCTGGCCGGGATGATCAGAAGCTCTGAGGGAAATACATTCAAACTACTAAGACAGCTAAGCAAATTAAAGGAGAATTATGAGGCGAGTGATTTTCACTCATCCTCCTAGTTCTAGCCGACCTGTGACAATGAGACTGTCACAGGTCGGCTCAGTAGATTGGGAGGTGAGCGAACAAATACTGACGTTCGCTCACTTCTCGCTCCTGTCACGGCATTCCCCCTCCCCACTCCGATCCTCCAGCACTGCCTGGCGGAACGGTCGGGGGAGGGGGCGGGTACAGCTGGCTCTGCCTCTAGATAGACAGAGCCAGCTGTCACTCACGCAGCTGGGCGGATCCAGACACAATTGTCGGGATCCGCTTCAGCTGCGGCGTCTCAGTATACCGCAAGCAGCAGCTCCCTATATACTGAGCTTTGGGTGACGGGAGGACGCTAGTTTGTGTCCTCCCGTTACCCTAAGGAGAACTATGGGGAAAAGCCCTGACCCCCTCCTTTAACCTTACAGCCTGCAAATGGGGATCTGTGACCAGTGACAACCATTCTGAAGTCTCCTCCTGTAATGTCTGACATCAGCTCTTCTGGACTAGAAATGTCACAGGGGCTACAGGGTAAGTGTCACCAGTCCTCAGTGTCACCAGCAACCTCAGCGTCACCAGTAACTTCAGGCAACCCCTAATGATACAGTGATGGATATTTGTTATCGTTATATGCACACAGGTCTTCTATGTTGAATTTTCCTCAATAGCCCCCCTAATGTGGTCCCCCTCCACCTCCAGACCCCATAGCAGCAATTCAGGCTGCTATGGCTATTGTTAAGTCACAGATAAAACCCCGGCCCCTCCAGTCTGTCTCCTGCTGCGCTCCAGTGATGGTATTGTCCCTTGGTGTCCTCACGTCCTCTACATTGTATAGAATGTGATGAGTCAAGGATCCTTAGACCGCTGCAGCTGAGGGGGAGCGAGGCTGAAGGGAGCGGTCTAAGAGCAAGCCGGGATCACAGTTCAGGTGAGTGTAACTTTTTTTTTAACTCCCTAGACCAAACGAGCACTTAACCCTTTCAGTGCTGGGGTAGCCATACGTCAAGGGTTATGATTTGATTTGCTCGGAGTTCTGCCTTAAACAAAGGCATTATACAAGAGTTTTCGAATGGTTGAGGACCAATGTATGCTGTGGTATGCTGTGGTTTAATTAGCACATCCTAAGTAGATGGCACTGCGTAGATATCGGTATGTATAGGGACCATAGAGTAACACTGAGAAGTCATACTCAACAAGACGCTTACTAAACCCAAAGACAATGAGTGTATATATAAACAATTTGCAGAGCCGTGCACGTTCATTCTGCATGAATGGAGGTGAAAACAAAGGTTTTTTTTGTATATTCTTTTCTAAATTGAATGTTGTATTAGAAAAATTACTTATTATAGCCACTAGATGGAGCTGAAGAGCGTAGGAAACACATATGTATTTCTTATGCTCTTCAGCTCCATCTAGTGGCCACAATGTAATATTTTCCTTATATTACATTCGATTTGAAAAGAACATGTACTATGAACATTTGCTTTTGCTTCCATTGGCACAAAACGAATGTTCTTAGAATTTAGCAGGACGAATGGCCTTGCGAATTGCTTTTAAAAACATCACAAAATGTTTATGTATTATCTGTTTATATATATATATATTTATTACTTCCTTCATGTCATGTGTCTGTTTCATTCCTCAGATCGCCCAGAAGCGCAGACACTCCCGCTCCCGTAGACTGCAGGCTCGGTCCATGGTCTGATTGGACTCAGTGCTTTCCATGCCAAGGTAGCAAAGTAAGACTTGTTTCGTCATCCAATGATTAATTGATACATTTCCTGATACACTTTTATGCACATGTCTGTGAAGGTTCACGTCCATCCAGGTCACGGAATATATGTAGAGAGTAAATCAAAGCAACTGGACTTGTTATATGTTTCTTGAACACGTTTTACTGGTCATCCGTTTAGCTTCCTCAGGTCTGAATTGAGCAAGCTAGTCGGATGACCAGCGAAACATCTTCAAGAAAGTACAGCAAGTCCAGTTGCTTTGATTTATTTTCTAGATATACTTTGAGGGACAAGATTGGGTTCTGTTTGCAAAGTAAATGATTGCGTTGTTTTACTTATTTCATGCAGATATTGATAATCAGTAAATCCGGGGCTGTCCCTAAGGTAATCGTCACCAGTTGCCAGAAGCTCAGCAGGTCACAAGCCAGAGCGTCCCGCTCATATCCTGGTAACCAATGACGTCAGTGAGCTGGCCCGGGAGCCGCACAAAGCATCAGCAGTTGCCAGGAGCACAGCAAGACGCAAGCCAGAGCGTCCCGCTCAGCTACTGGTAACCAATGATGTCAGTGAGCTGGCCCGGGAGCCGCACAAAGCATCAGCAGTTGCCAGGAGCACAGCAAGACGCAAGAGCTCAAAAGTGAGAAGGTTAGTCAGATGACCAGCGAAACGTCTTCAAGAAAAATACAGCAAATCCAGTTGCCATGATTTATTTCTTATAGAGATGTCTAATTTAAAGTTATACTCTAGGCTGGCCCGGCCAGGTCACCCCCTCTGATAAGTCGGGCACTCAGTCATGGACCAAGAGCCCAACAGTTGTACTAGAGAGGAGGGGAACCGTCGGCATAGTTATCCTGCCGAGTAACACAATGATGTCACAGAGGGGTGTCACCCGGTACTCGCTCTGGGTGACACCCGGCCTTGGGGCACCCCTGAGCACCCCCCACCTTCTTTGTTGTATAAAATGTTATATATATATATATTTTCCTTTTTTCATTGGATTTTATGTCAGGTCATGTGATATCATGGCTTCACTTCCTCTGGCATTGGGTGGGTCCTGAATTGCCATTACCTGGAACTCCTCTCTACAGCTTGATGACATCCCCAGGGAGTGTGTCCTTGGCATCACTTCATCACTAAGGGTTAAGGTTAGGGTTAAGGTCAGGTTTGCCTGATGAAGGAACCTATAGGTTCCGAAACATTGCTTTTCATTGTGATGATATATGACCTTCCAACGTCAATAAAGATGGAGTGGTAGAGCGAGCATTGAAATGCCGGTGCCTTCTTCTCTTATTATTGATTACATGCGGTGCCATCTGCAGTCACTGCGGCACGGGTTCCCCTTGGTCAGACTCAGAAGTGTGATGGGACTTCTATGCGCTTGACATCCTGGGCTCATAGGCAGTAGGTTGACTGAAGTTGGGCGTCAGGAGGACCGGCGCTGGATCCCAGAGCGGTGAGTCTTCATGGGGCAGCTCTGGAGATAAGGTGAGTATTGCAGCTGGAGCCGCCTTTTGACTTCCGCAGGGTGACGGTAGCATTTAAGCTGGAGTTGGCCTTAAAATACAGCGTTCCCTTCCCTGCATCCGCTAATTATGAATTAATGACGTCCTCGTAGGCTTAAGCTAAATAAACATTCGTTTTGGAAAATGGGAAAGCGGAACAAATCAGAGATGCGGGACGGATGATTAAGCAACTATTAACTTATCGCTTGGTGTGCTAAATCCGCCGCATCTGTTGTTGTAATTATCATTGTTTTCGTAACCTGGTACAGATTTCAATTAACGTCAAATGGAAGTAATTGAGATTGAGGGAGAGAAAGAATTACAGAACGTTTACACTGATTTATTTCACTGCCGGAACCGTTTGATTTCACAAACACAAAACAATTCCGGGGGAAGAATGAACTCTCTACTGGTGTGTGAAGGTGATTTAGGAACTTGTTTGTATTTGTACACACTTCGGGCTGAAACTTTGCGGCCGGTGTTTGTGTCTTCTGACAAGGAATTTAAATCATTAAAATGGAAGTTTAGTCTTCTTACAGTTATTATTATACAGGATTTATATAGCGCCAACAGTTTGCGCAGCGCTTTACAATATAAGGAAGACATTACAATCACAATACAATTCAAGACAAGATGGTAAGGAGGGCCCTGCCCCTGAGGGCCTGCAATCTAAAAGGGAGGGGTCAGTGATATATGAGGAGGGAGCTGTGTGGGGATGAATTGTTTGAGAACTTGATGGTTCAGGGGTTAGGTTGAGGAGGGACTGGCTTCCCTGAAGAGATGAGTCTAAAGGGATCGCCTAAAGGCAGTCAGAGAGGGAGATAGACGGACCGGTTGGGGTAAGGAGTTCCAAAGAATGGGGAAGACTCTAGAGAAGTCTCGAAGGCGAGCATGGGAGGAGTTGACAAGGGAGCTAGAGAGCAGGAGGTCTTGGGATGAGCGGAGGGGACGGTTAGGATGACACTTTGAGACAAGGTTGGAGATGTAACCGAGGGCAGAGTTGTGGATGGCTTTGTAAGTGGTTGAATTTTATCCTCTGAGCGATTGGAAGCCAGTGCAGGGATTGGCAGAGGGGGGTTGCAGACACTGAGCGGTTGGTTAGGTGGATAAGAATGGCAGCTGCATTCATGATAGACTGAAGGGAGGAAAGTTTGGATAGTCTGTGTAGAGGTCGGCCAATGAGGAGGGAGTTACAATAGTCGAAACGAGAGATAACAAGTGAGTGGATGAGCAGCTTTGTGGCTTCATTTGTAAGGAAGGGGCATATTTTGGAAGTGTTACGAAGGTGAAGACGGCAGGATTTGGATAGGAATTGTTGCTTGTAAATCGTAGAACTGGAAGGTCAGAAATACAAATCCCTTTAGTAGGTAAAAACAGCTCCTGTTTTTCTGGAGTTCATCAATAAATTGGCCAGGGGCACCAAGAAACTTCTCTACTACTACTACTACTACTTTGGCCTTTTTATTTCCCTTGTGGATTGAACGTTATATTTTCTGTTCAGGTTGAATGTAATGTAAAACCACAATATGGCCACCAGATGGAGCTGTGCTCCATCTGATCCTCCTCACCGCCATCTAGTGGCCATAATGCCGTATAACATTACTTTTGATTGAAAAGCAAACGTACTAAGAATGTTAGAGTTGCCTCTATTCGCAAGGAATGAACGCTCATAGAGACTTACCGGTGCGAATGGCTTTGCGAATTGTCTATAAATAGATCCCAAAATGATGGGAAATCCAAAACGTTACAGTTGTCACAAAACCAGTAATAAAGGGGAAATCTTCCAAAGGGGTCACATGCCCTAGTGACAACTGTCTAAAGCTGGTCATACACATTCGATAATGCCATCAGGGACTTGTAGAATGCCATTTGATTTTAACATTCACTGTTAGAATTTTGTTAATTCGAGAAAAAATTCTATTTTTGTCTCACTATAGCTGAAAACAATCATCGGTTTGATCCCAATAACTATTAGAAAATCGAACGAAAGTTCCGGAAATTAACTTTTTTTAACAAAAATCTTCTGGTGCATGGCTGGCTTTAGAGGAGATTCTCCTCCCTTTTCAGAGTTTTTCTCTCACTTCCTGTTGTGAGAGATACATTGTATCTTTCTTTCGAGCATAAGATCATGCTTCCTCTGATTGGCTCCAATATAAAAGTTAAAACTCCCTTCTTCTGACTTACAGCAGCGGTACCGGAACCTGGCTCAGCCCGCCAAATATGGAGGGAGAATCTGTGTCGGCACTCTCTGGGAATCGATCATCTGCCAGTCCTCGCAGAAATGCGTTCCGGAGAACAAATGCGGCAAAGACTTCCAGTGTGAAGAGACCGGTAAGATGTTTTTACACCACGGTTTGCTAAAAAGAAGTAAATGGATCACCCACAAATTGGTTATACTGTTTTTTTCTCATCAAACAATTCCCAATTATAATACCAGCATTCGTCAAATATAATATGGGCAGCACAGTGGCGCAGTCGTTTGCGCCTCTGCCTTGCAGCACTGGGGGTCCCTGGTTTGAATCCTGCCCAGGTCACTATCTGCAAGGAGTTTGCATGTTCTCCTTGAGCTTGCGTGGGTTTCCTCCGGGTACTCCGGTTTCACACTCCAAAGACATGATGGAAGGTTAATTGGCTCCTCTCTAAGTTGGCCCTCTATGTATGCATGTGAGATAGGGACTGTAGATTGTAAGCTCTTTGAGGGTAGGGACTGATGTGACTGTGCAACTATGTAAAGCGCTGCATAAAATTGTCAACGCTATATAAATACCTGTAATAAATAAATAAATAATATAGTTGGTGCACACTGTCCCTACCCAACCTCCATACAGGAAATACATAGATGCCAGCTCTCTTGGGTTTACAGGAACCCATCTGGTTGATGGGGAAATGGGCCTTAGACATCTATATCCAGAAGTGAAAGAGTCTAGAAGTGCCTTCAATTATTCATATTGATTCAAACAAAAATAGCCAGTGTCATTCAGAACCTCCGAAACACGCTGGCGGTTTTTGTTTGATTGAATTCTGAATAATTAAAGGCACTTCTGGACTCTTTGACCTTTTGGTGTGGCCCCCATTATTTCTAAACATTGAGTTGCTGTCACATACCTGGTTGGAGACTGAATGTGTGAGGAGGCCTCCCTTGCACCCCGTGTCCTGAGGACTCAGGAACAGAGTCCTGGCAGACAACAAGTGGCATGGGTGACAGTGGTGTTAATACCGTGCAAGCTGAAGATTTGTGTCAGGAACCGGGTCTGAACCCAGAGCCTCTGCTGTAGCTGGCGGTGGTTCTACCTGCTGAGCTACCTAAGAACCTTGGATAGCTCCTTGCCTGATCTCCTGTGTATCCTCATTTATACCTAATCAGATGCTGAACTATGACCTCCTTGCTCCTCCCTTGAACTTCCTATTTAAGCCACGCCTCTACACTTCCTCTTTGCCAGATTATTGTGCTCCTGCCTTGATCTTGCTTCCTGCTCCCTCTGTGCTGCAATCTACTCATACTGCTTCCCGTGTACCGACCCTTGGCTGCTGATTCACCGACTACTCTCTCCGCCTCCTGCTACATACCTGATACCTTTGGCTACTGACCTCGGCTTGTTCACTGACTACGCTTCTGCCTGCTCCTCCACCACTACCCTCTGCTTGTGTACCAAACCCGGCCTGTCATACTACGAATTGCCTGCTGCTTCAGCTGCTGAACTCTGAGCCTGATCCCAGATCGTGACAATTTGGTTCTGTAGCAGAACTGGGGGATTCCGAAATCCAGGGTCAACAAGCCGAGGTCACACCAAGCCAGCAGATAAGGCACACAAGGATGAGGCAGAGGCAAGTCCAGTAAACAATCCGTGGTCGAGGGCAGGTAGCAGGCAAGAATGGTCAAGGCAGATCCGGGTCAAAGCAAGCAGGCAGGTAATCACAGGGAACAGGAATCAGAGGACACAGGAATTCAGGAGGGCTGAAGACAATCCAGCAATATGGAGGTGTGCAGGCTGAGCTTAAATAGGGAAGTCAATTGATCAAGTGCGTCGCTTCCTGTGCACCATTTGGCGCGTTTTTCCGCGGCTAGTCCGCATGCGCGCAAGTGTCCTCAGAACAGTACGGAAAACGGGACTTGGTGCATGCACAGAGGGTTGCTGACAGTTGCTTCTGGGAACCCAACAAGGGAGGCCTGTTATGTTGGGGATTGTTTCTTCTTCACCAAAGCCAGTGAGCTTATCTGCAAACTTCCTTGCATCTGAATAAAATGAGTAAGCACAGGAACCCCAGCTCCTCTGAGATATGTTTCTTTGGAGCTTTATCAAGAGTTCCGGACATTTGCGGACTCATCTTATTGAACGTTTTTGGAGTCTTGGACAGTCTTGTTTGGTGCTCCCTTTGGACTTTATCTACATGAATTAACCAAAGACATGTTGCCCAGGTCGGTGTATAAAGAGAGAACTTGTGTGCAATGGTGAGAACGAATGTCGGGACCTGTCTGATGAAAAGGACTGCGAGGAGTCGGAGAGCAACAACCTCTGCAAACAACTTTACCCGATCCCTGGTGCGGAACGAGCCGTCAGAGGGTAAGGGACCTTAAAGAGCACGTCATGAATTGGGCCATTATTAGTACGACGGTGCATGCTTGCTTATAAAAGTTTTATACTCTTCTTCCTTTTTTAACATTATTTGCTTTGTCTGAATGAGGTCGCCTGAGGAATGACTGTTGCAGCTTTGTCAACTACCTGATTAGTGTCTCCCCGTTCCTAAGAGCATAAGAAGTGTCACATGACAGAGCTCCATGGCTAAAAGCATGGAGACGACTACACGGGTCTGTCACTGCATACGCTTATGTGCTCACAGGAGCTGGGAGACAGTGTTGTAGGTTAAGCAGTTGATAGCGCAGCTGCTATCAGACGTCAGGTGACCTCTGACCCGGGACGTCAAGACAAAGCAAGTAGAGGGAAACAAGAGAGGAAATATCAATCTATAATAAATGAGATTACTCAAATATAATAATATAAAACTGTACTTAGACATTAGTATATCTTCTTATAAATGAGGTGTGAATGTTAGCCCTGGGCACAAGGATCCTGTTCTTAATATGGGTGGTTGGGGGTGGGGGGGTTGAGAACAACTGTGGATAAAAGAGTGTCCCCAGCTATCCCCAACTGCAATGATGACCCTTAGATATAACCATCTCCTTAACACTTAAACCCTAAATGAATCTTTATCTCATAACCTGCCCCTAACCTTTCTCCTAAGCACCTAAAACTCAAAATCCCAATCTATGACCCTCAAGATGGTCTCTAATCTAACCTATAATGCTCATTGTATAGCAGGGGGAAGGTTTAGAACATGTGACAGGGTTTTTTGTTATCTGTACCCCCATATTGTTGTGCCCCCAGGACAGGAACTATAAATCACTTTGAAAGCACAGGCTGCTATAAAACCACCTTTACTGGTAGTGCGGGTAAGGGCTTGTGTCTTTGTTTGTGTCCTGGTTGGGTTGATTTCCTTACTTCCTGTTGAGTCAGCATGATAGGAGAAAGCCGTCCCAATAAGAATACAGACAGCAAAAAAACAAAAACAAAAAACAAAAAGGTGTTCTAACTCTTTTCCACTCTATCAAAAACTAATGCAAAGATGGTTGGTGTTCTTCTTTAACCCTTTCAACATCATAGTTACCTTATCTGGTAACTGAAGCACCAGAAAGGTATCTGCTCCACACCAAATGGACCCAGTGCTACGCTGGTCATAGTGAAAAGTTTACTAAAACTATTACACTGCAACAGGGTCTGGCCAAACTTCCACGGGGCCATTGCTTTGATTTTTGGTCACATGTCTTGAATCCAGTCTTTTGGCTGGCTCTGCTGAGTTGCCATTCACATTCGCAGCTAATGTCAGTGGCTCAGTGTATGACACTGTGGCCTCAGACTTCATAACCATGAAATGACCAAGAAGTGGAATGCCTTGTCACTATGTCGCCCAGAAGAAGGGACCCTGCGTGGCCCCGAAATGTTGGCTGTTTGACGCATGTGACGATTCAATAAAAAGTGCTTTACTTCTTGCACATATCATCGAGTGCTGCTTACCTTTTATTATGGACTATATCTGATACGGCGCCATCCGTGTTGTCACTTGAAGCACCAACCTCTTATTCAAGGTCTGTACGCTGTATGGAGTGCAGGTGATTTCAGATTTTATCGATTGTGCTACAATCACTCACAAACTTCAAAGCCCAAAACTGTCCCTGAATATTGGTACCATTTGCAACAGTACTGACCTTTGTTGAACTACAACCAAACACAATCTGTACTGCTACTTCTTCTTTCTCGTCAAACATGTAGGTTCAACATCTTGACCCAAGAGGATGCCCTGATGGTTCTGGATCCCACTTATTTCGGTGGCCAGTGTGAATACGTCTATAACGGAGACTGGAGGGAGCAGAGATATGACCCGACCTGCGAGCAGATGTACTATGGCGATGATGAGAAATATTTCCGAAAACCCTACAACTTCCAGGTGTACCAGTTCCTGGTAAGGAAACCTCTATGGTTACGAGTTGGAGTTATTAACTTCAGGTTAAGGACACAAGGCCAGATAAATTGAGCTGAATTGGAGAATTTTTCCAAATCGGCTATTTTGGCCTAGATTGTTCACCTCTCCTGCCTTCTCCAAACCATTCACCCTTTTGTGAATAATACTGCCTACATAAATTGCCAATTTACTCTATCTAAGGTATTATGGGCATCAATCACTTGCAGTACACGAGGGGTTTGGGAGGTAGCCAGTGGATCAGGTTGAGCACTTTGGTAATGTTGGCTTTTTTGTTGTATGACTCATCAATGCCTATTACTGGATCTACTGGGTGTCTTGTGACTCTTCTCTGTGTAATGTCTAATATAAAATGTGTATTGTCACCCTTTTCACCAGTTTACTACTCATCTCTCACTGCTTTTCTCACTCTATTAGTTGAAAGTGTCTCATGATTCTCCAGAGCACTTTACCTGATCCGCTGAGTGTCTTGAGACTCTACTTAAACAGCTATATGGATTTTTTTCACAACAATCTATACCTGGCCAAACAAGGCAATCAGCTGTAAATCTATGCTATGGTTCAGATCCTTCTCATCTTGTTTTTCGAAGCACGGGCCCAGAAGTGCCTTATGGTGAACGCAGTCCTGCTATGAACTTATTTTTATATTATATGATGATTCGACCTCCGCAGCCGGGACAGATACCCACATTACTGTCGAGATCAACCCAGCTGCGTGATTGACAGCTGGCTCTGCCTATCTAGAGACAGAGCCGCCAGCTCTACCAGCCCCCTCCCCCGTTCATTCCTCCAGTCAGCGCTGGGGGATCGGAGCGGGGAGAATCGCTGCAGGAAGCTGTGAGTGACAGTCGCGGCTCTCTGCAGGGACAAGATCGAGAAGTGAGCGAGCGCTGGTATGTGTTCGCTCACTTCCCGATCTATTGAGCCGACATGTGACAGTTTCATTGTCATAATCTCTTCTTCCCCAAGTAGCCCTTTCTGGTGTCATGGCTGACTGTAATATGGCCACATGCACATGTATATGCTTGCTTGGAAACATTACAATCTCTGACCTGCAAATACCATCATTTCTATCTACTGCATCCTGTTGTCTGCTATAACTGACCTGCTGCATTCAATAAAGAGCTTTGTGGATGAAAAAAAATATATGCTGATTCGATCAATTTATTGTCCCCCCCTCCAGACCCGAGCCGACACTGACATGTCCTTTGAACTCTATGAAGATTCTAAAGACCTCTTGAACGCCATTAGGAGAGAGAGTTCGTCTGGCGGTGGGGCCAGCATCAACATACGTCCGGCTGGGTCTCCTGTTGGTGTTGGTGTTGGTTTCAATGTGGGGAGTAAATCTGACTTCATGAAAAATATATCGAGTTACACAGGAAAGGTGAAGTATTTTCAAAAAGTTGCTGAACTTTTTCCCCAAAGTTTTTTTTCTACATGTCCTTCTCTCAGGGGTCTAACGATCATTTGTTTTACCCAACATTTGTTTCCACTTGAATCCAGTTTAAAAGTTGTGTGTATCTTAGGTGAAAGGTGTATAAATCTGGAATGAAAACAATGAAAACATTAATAAATAAAGCCAGCGGGGTGTTGTGCATAGCTTCCTTAAAACATCACAGCACCCTGCTTTAGTACTCCTCCCAAGAGCCGTTAGCGTTGAATCCAAGCAGTGGGCTGGCATATGCAGATATCAAAATGCCTTGATGGGTGGATGACAGTCTGGAGGAGTGGGCATTCATAGGCATACTGCATTTGCATGTAGTCTGTCCTAGGTAATGTGATACTGAGCCTCCATGTTTGAAAGAACAGAAATCCAGTGCATGAAAGCGCTGGGCCAGGAACAGCTGGGCTGGATGATGCTGGACGTCCTCCTGCCACGAAATGAGGCGGGCTTTATCTGACTTGCTGCAGCTTCTAACTGTGAGAAGCCCACAGTGTGCGGATAGTAGACATGTGCACCAGCAAAAAATTTGTTTAGTTTCGTTTTGATTCGGATTTGGAAGTCAATTCGTTTTGGAATTCGGATTCAGATGAAATTCGTTAGCGGAAGTCCGTACGAAAATTTGTTTCGGTTTCGTTTTGTTCGTTCTTTGCAGCAAAGTGACATTTAAGAGGGGGAAAAAGTTTTTTTGTTCTCAAATGTCACTTTGCTGCAACGAAATTTCTTCCAAACAATGAAAGTTCGTCCAAAAAAACCGAATCGGAAATTCGGATTCGTTTGCATTCGTTATACCTGCAATTCGGAATTCAGATACATCTGAATCTCAGAATTTCCATCCGAATTTCCATTCGGAGCGAAACGAATCGCACATGTCTAGCGGACAGTAAGCAATTTTGGTCCAGGAGAGGAGCCGGCACAACTGTGCAAGACTGAAGGGGAAGACCAGAATTCAGATTTGAGTGTTAATGTCAGACTGCCTGAAGAAAGTTGATGGTACATGAATAATCATAAATCAGCAACTTCTAGGAACTTCTCAGAGTCATCTTATTTATAGTTTTTCCCAAATCTCCCTGATCTGTAGAATCTGCAGTTTGCACGACTGGTCACAAAAGTGGAGACGGCCCGGTTCCGGATGAGGAGAAATTCGCTGGTGCTGGATGAGGACATGCTGGTGGCCTTAATGGAGCTTCCCGACACCTACAACTACGGGCCGTACGCCAGATTCATAAATGACTACGGCACACATTTTGTCACCGCTGGGACTGTGGGTGGCATACTGGAGAATGTCCTTGTTTTCGATACGGAAGTAATGAAGAAAAAAGGTTTGTCCTAAGGAGATTTTTTTTGTATTTCCGAAATGGCTGAATGCCCGAGCTTTAAAGGGTACCCGTCAGTGTAGAAGTATGGGAGCTGCCACTGCTGTATTGTGTTTGAAAGTTCCTGCTGTGAAGCTGTCATCCTTAAAGCTGAAGTCTGTGCCATCATTTAAAGATACCACTCAATGCCTCCCATAAATAGTGTGCATAACAGCTCTATTTTTTTAAATCAGCGTGAAATCTTTTTCACTTACCTGTTTAGTTGTTTAGGTCTTTGCGGCATCTCCATAGTTGTGGGAGGGGTTTTTACCAAAACACTGGGCAGGGCTCTCAACTAATTGGCAAGCAAGTCAATTAAGCCAGGCAGGTAAAGACCGCTATTCTTCACAGCAGAGGAAACAAAAAGGAGGAAGAAGCGTGACGACCTAGCGCAGATAAAAGATGGTAGAGCGGAGGGGTGAAGAATGTCCAATACGGTGACGTGGAGATCAACAGTTGGATAAAATATAGGCACGGGAAGTCCCCACCTGAACTTCCAAGCATCGCACCACCTCAAAAGAGACCCCCCAACTCCCAAAGCTCAGATCCCCCTGATTACATGTGAGTATAATCATCTCACACATTCTTCACCCCTCCGCTTTACCATCTTTTATCTGCGCTAGGTCGTCACGCTTCTTCCTCCTCTTTGTTTCCTCTGTAGTACAAACGTCGGACAACTCGGGCCGCACGCACCAGGAGCAGCACACCAGCATTGGAACCAATCCAACCCCCCTCCTCCCCCCCGTAAGAGCGTTCACCAACTGGACCTATCCTTCACAACTTCTTACATATGCTTCACTGCAGGGCTTGCCTACACAAGTTTTATATTAGCACCACCGGAGAGTGGGTGGGAAAGTGACCAGTCACCTAGTGCACATTAAATGTGCAGCAGAGACTGATCCCTATAACAGAAAACAGCAGAAGATATTTCCAGGGCTTATTACATTTTTGTCTACAGAGAGGAGTACCTGAATCAGGATGTATTATTTCAGAATCTTTCCATATAAAATTATTTGTGTACCCAGGGTGTAGCCAGTGAAGTTAGGCAGATAAAGACCACTATGCTTTCTTGCAGGAATCTCCTACACAACTTTGATATCAGTGCCACTGGAAAGGGGGTGGGAATAAGACCTAGCGCACACTGAAGCTGCAGCAGAGACTGGTCCCTATAAAAGAAAACAGCTCAGCAGAAGTCTTTGCCAGGACTGAAATACATATTCAGGGTCATTCACAAAAGGGTGAAGGGTTTGGAGAAGGCAGGAGAAGAGAACAATCTAGGACAGGGGTGCCCACAATTTTTGTGTTAAGATCTACTTTTCAAATGACGAGCTACATGAGATCTACCAACGAAAAAAAAACCCTCCATCGCTCTCTCTCTCTCTCTCCTGGCTGTCTCTCCTTGCTCTCTCTCCTGGCTGTCTCTCCTCGCTCTCCTGGCTGTCTCTCCTTGTTCATCCTCCTGGCTGTCTCTCCTTGCGCTCTCTATCCTGGCTGTCTCTCCTCGCTCTCCTGGCTTTCTCTTCTCTTTCTCCTGGCTGTCATTCCTCGCTTTCTCTCCTGGCTGCCTCTCTTCGCTCACTTGGCTCTCTCTCCTTGCTCTCTCCCCTGGCTGTCTCTCCTTGCTCTCTCCCCTGGCTGTCTCTCCTCACGCTCTCTCTCCCCGCTCTCTCTCCCCGCTCTCTTTCATGGCTCACCTTGCTGTATTTTGCACACAGTGCAGTGCAACAAGCTGTGTAAACTAATATTCTTTGATGTAATACATAGCACTTCAACCACCAGAATCCACCAGAAAGGTGTCGGGGAGCTCGGCTCAGCAGACTCAGGCTAATAGGGAATCATGTGTGCACAGCTATATAAATATACCAAAATGGAATAAAGGGGCCGCCATTCCCCCCCTTCCTGATCTACCGGCATCAGCTTTGAGAGCTACTGCTAGATCGCCATCTACCTAATGGGCGCCCCTGATCTAGGACAACATAGCTGATGTGGAAAAATTCTCCAATTCAGCTCACTTTCCAGTTCAGCCATGTTGTTCTAAATTGTTCACTTCTCCGGCCTTCTCCAAACTCTTTCACCCTTTTGTGAATAACCCTGTTTGTTTGTTCACACAGAGAGGAGTACCTATGTCAGGATGCATTATATCAGGGAAACCATTGCACCGTCTCTGCAGGAAACATTGTGTACCTGGAGTTCAGTTTTAACTTTTCTTCCCCATTCGATGAGTCACTAACCCAGAGATAGTATGTGAGCACTCTCACTTTATCTGGCCCACTTTGGGCTGGCACTGAAATCTATAAATTCCATGCCAAGATCTGTTTATTGGTTTGCTCCTGTTCCATATTACATTGAACTGCCTTATTCAATTGCTTCAAACATTTAATTAATTGAAAGCTCTAGGCATAGCTTGCTGACCCCACATAACAAGAAAGTGTATGCACACTTTCTTTTTAGACCCCGTTCACATATAGCAACATACCTTTGCAGCGGCCGGGATAGCGCGACTTTCAGGGCGACGTTCCAGCGACGATCCAGCGACGGTAGCGCGACCTTCTCCGTCGGGCTCCATAGAAAAAAGCAAAATCGCGCAAAATCCGCAGAAAAAAGGGTCCGGTAGAAGCGACTTGCGACCGAGACAAGCGACGCGCGACATGGAGTTAAGACAGCTCCATTGAATAGCATTGGCCGGCGACTTCTCGCGATATAGCGCGGCAAAAATGCGCGATATCGCGGCGGAAATCGCGCGACAAGTCGCTATATGTGAACGGGGCCTTAAGTGTATTTAGCATCATTCCGTACTGCAGACAGTTTTCTTAAGAAAAACATTTTTGTAATTCTGTTGCAAAGCTTCTTACCTGGAGATCAAGTAGCAGCAGATCCTGCTGCTGTCTGACAACACTAAGACCATGCCTCACATTTATCAGCAGCGTAGTTAGCCTGCTGCATGCATTTCTTTAGTTGACTGTCAGGCTGCATACTGAACCTATATGATAGGAAACCCAATGGCCAGCTGAAGGAGTGCAGAGAGCAGGCTGATAACACCGCTGCTAGTTACAAGTCAGTGAGTTATTGGTGTCACCCTCAACAGGAGGTGCTGTGACTGGCATGATCTTAACTTAAGAAACTTTGCAAGAGATTCATTCAACAAAATTTGTTTAGGAAAACTATATACAGTGAGGAAAGATGCCACACATACTGAAAAAGAGATTTCAAATTTATATACACTTTAAGTCAGTTGCTGCAGTTACATAGTATTTGAGGTTGAATAAAGACATTAGTCCATCAAGTCCAACCTATTAGGATCTCATTCTAGGAGTACCTGTACCCCTGTATATTACCTGTACCCCTGTATATTAC